TATTTTGTGAGGATTACAATGGTGGGTTTTGTTTTAAAGGGGGGTAAATACTCGCCGCGATATTTACATTTGAAAAATTGAATTGTAATGTAATGCGAAACTACTTGTCGGCAAGGAACACGTATAACGATTTGATTCGTAAGGAGTGTGACAGTTTAAGAATCTATACAAAACAAGTGTAACTCCAAAGATCGATCTTTGGAGTTACACTTGTTCTCTATTCTTTGAAAATACTCAATGGTTCTAAAAATCTATCCTCATTATAAATATTCTGGCTTCAAAATTAATTCCCTGAATTCGACAGGTTAATTGCTCTATCCATCCCTAGTTTGGAGATCAGGGCCCATAGGTGTCTATACATTTGAAGTTGACGGTTGACAATCATGTGTGATACCGTATAACCCTAGCACATGATCATCTACGAACGTATATTAATTTGGTTTTTTGCTTTAAATTTCAGAGTACGAGTTCCACTGTCCAACTTTCCTGAGTTTAGTAAGGCATTTGGATGCTCGGCCCGGAAAAACACTTGCGCGGTTTGGTAGTTCGGTTTTAACTATATATCCCTAGTTAATAGAAAATATAGGCCTATACCCTGAGGTCTTAAGACTGGTGATCTTCGAAGAGTTTCAGTCTTTGAAGATCACCAATCTAAGACCTTTAGTTTGCTAAGAGTTTTGCTAATTAGGAAACTTAAGGTGTAGTACGAATCTTTTCAGTGTCTTAAGACCCATTTACACTTACAATTTTGGTCGTTCCTAAGTCGAGAAAAAGTTTACAAGATGGCGACTATTTTTTAACATCGTTAGAATATGAAAAACAACAGCAAGGTACTTAAAACAATCCCAAATCTTACCCTAAACCTAACCCCAATCCCAACCCAGCATGAAACTTCGAAAACCCCACTCACGTCCATCCCTTTTAGCCATTACCTTGCAAGATTTTGCTGCGATTTCTACTGCGATTTTCTTCTGATGCATGTGAACGAGTATACATATGAATATCAATGGAATAAACTGAGTATAGGTACTCTTATATGAGCATTCATTCAATTCTGATCCACTCGTTCACATCCATTGGAAGAAGATAATCGCAACAGAATTGCAAGTGTGTATAACTGGTCCTTTAGACAGCTGAGTCTAATGTGTTTTATATCTGATAAAGCGCTCAGTCTTGTGTTTTAAATAGTATTTATACTTAAGGTAAACGATTAATAAAATAATTGCGGTTCCCAAACGAAATTTGACATCGCTTTATATTCGCTGCGTAAAGTTCCATCTTGCATGGGCTCAATATTTTAGTAGCCTAAAACCACAGAATAGTGGTACGTAAAACAGGGATGTCTTCGTGCTTGTTGTGCAATTGTTTTGCGCATGCTCCAGAGCACCGTACTGTTTTACTATGTCTCGATGATATAATCGAGCGATTGATGATATATAATCTTGATGATATAAAGTGTTTGATACATAGAGAACTTAAATGTGTTTTTTGCCGTGATTCATAAATCATAATAATTATTTTTGTAATTGACATTGAGTGTTTCTGTAATTCATTAAATGTTTTCTTTAGAATTTAGATGGTATTACTTTTTAGTGCGGGGCCGTGCCCTAGCGTCTGCGATTAAAAAAATGTTTTGTCCTGGGGACGATTGGTTTTAATTAATAAGTTTTAATTAATTAATTAATAAATTTTAATTAATTTAAGTTCAATTAATAGGTTTTAATTCACGAGGAAGGGAATATGTGTCAATGATTCGTGTGTTTGTGAACCTTCGCATCGAAATTTTAAGGGGAAGGCAATATGCCCCCTAATTTTTGAAGGCAAATACGAATTTAAGGCAAGGCGATCGAGACATTATTTAAAACTTTTTGAAAATGTACCATATTTCTTCCTATATCGACGATTTTAATATGCACCACTCTTACCTTTGACCATTTCATCAAAGTAGAATTGCTCCATTTTTAAGTACAATCTGCTCGATTTTTATGTACAAACAGTGCCCGACCAAAAAGATATTGAAAGGGGCCACAGCCCAATTTATAAAGATTTGTCTAATGTTTGATCAAGGCTGTGCCTGCCTGAAATGTGCCTGGCTGAAATGAGAAGTTTCTTGGGATTGTGTTCCTACTACCGAAAGTTTATTCGAAATTTCGCTGAGATTGCAAACCCACTCATTCACCTAACGCAAAAGGATGTATACAGTTCGCATGGAACTCTGAAGCCGAGAACGCGTTCCAGCAGTTGAAATCTTTGTTGACAAATGCCCTTGTCTTGTCCTTCAGTTTTTGAGTGACGAAGGGAACATTGATATTGGACACAGATGCAAGCGGTATCGCAATTGGGCTGTTCTATCACAAAAACGGGGCAACGAAGAAAAAGTCATCGCATATTTCAGTCGTTCACTTAATCGAACGCAGCGCCAGTATTGTACAACAAGACGGGAAGTGTTAGCTGTGGTAAAATCATTGGCTCATTTCCATCCTTACCTTAATGGAAGAAAGTTTGCTGCACGGACAGATCATTTCTCTCTTCGGTTGTTGGTGAATTTTAAGTACGCCGAAGGTCAGCTTGCACGTTGGTTGCAAAAGATTCAACGGTATGATCTAAAGATTGAACATCGACACGGAAAATATTATCTCTAGCATTTTCTTACATTAATTATATTTTGTTTCATGTTAAAGTGTCCTTGAGTCTTATAAACGAAGAATGTTAGCCACACCGGAATTTGTTCTTTCGTTTGGAGATAAGAGGATTATGCAATCAATATCTCAAGTTTCGTGGCAACGTGGACGTTTACGGAAATTTTGTTTGATATTATTGCCCATTCCATAGTCTTTCGAGACATGGTCTGGAAAGTCAGTAAACTTCAAAGCGGTTATAATGAGCTGTGTGTTTATGTTGAGCCGTACCTTACATGACCGCGTACATCCTTTGTTTTATGTTTATGTACTATTTAAATAGCATGGTTGAATAACTGACTGAAACGTTGCTATTGGATGATTCGCTCATTATACTGAAATACAATGTGTTCATTGACCGTGCACCGTGCACAAAACTGCATAAACGCGAACAAAAAGATAGAACAAAGACTTTAGCGGAGTTTCCAAACCATGCCCATACGCAGTGCTGTAAGTAACTTCGTTAAAAGTAACTAGTTACAAGTAATCGTTACACTTTTCAGTAACGGTAACGGTAACTTGTTACAAAAAATGCCATAAAATTGAAACGATTGCAAGTTATTTTGCCAAAGTTACAAGTTACATTTTGTTCGTTGCTATTTGTGTACGTTTTTAAAATGAAATAAATCAACAAACAGTGAGGCAAGCTCTTAATCATCTGCACAGGAATAATTTAATCTGACACAACAGAATACGTTCAAGACACAAATTTAAGTCAAGGATTGATGTCAAATTTACGTACAGTTGGAACTGATCGGAATGCCGTCGCTCGCCTTCACTTGGGCCTTGGCCTCGTCATATTTGGTCTTTGGCCTCATTTCACTTGGCCTTGGCCCAGTCATGATCACATATTCACGTTTCTGCTTTTTCATTGCGAAGTCAGAAGCCACAAGCCAGTGAGGGATATTTTTTTCAATCTATTCGTTCAGACTGTATAATAGCAGAGTTTTTTTAATTGACAATTCTATTAAAAAATCGATTTGGTGGAATTTTACAGATGCATGCAGATACATCTAGTAAATAGTTATTAATTTTGCCAATAATTTTTCCGCAAGTTTCATTACCATTCGGCCCATTCGAATTGTATGCGTTCGTAATTGCAATCAATAAATGTAACTTGTAACTTTGTAACTAAGTTACAAAAAATATATTGTAACTTTGTAACTGTAACTGTAACTGCAACTGTAACTGTAACTAGTTACACTTTGGCGTCTGTAACCTGTATCGGTAACTAGTTATGTTTTTGGTAATGTAACTATAACTGAAACTAGTTACAAACAAACTGTAACTGTTACAGCACTGCCCATACGCATAGCCTAAAATGCTAAACTGCTGATCATTGTGTTTTCTTGTATTAAATTAACCTTATACCGAAGAGTGTTAGTCACACCAAAATTTGTTGTGCTGTTTTGGAAATTAGCTAGATGACTATACGTGGAATGTTTACGGAAGGTTCGTACCATAATTTTGACAATAGGCACAACCTAAAATGTTCTATAACTTGCGTTACCCCTTTCATTGTTTTCAACATTTTCGAATTTTAAAAGATCGACATTCTTTAATATTCTAGGGCTGCATAGATCAAACAATTACACAAATAAAGGGGTTAGGGGTACTTTAAATGCAATACATCAAAATTATTGATAGTTGGAATTATTATATGGCACAGTACATAACAGGTTTTGTATTGAAAACATGTTATGTACTATTAATATAACATGTTGTTAATATAGACTTTTGTCATTACGAAAAGGCCGTCCACATACAAGGAAATAATCATGTCACGTATTATGAACACTTATTTATCTTTATTGTCATTTAGGGACCGGTTATTAATAATGGGAGGGGGGCGGTGGCTGGTAAATACCCAGGAGCGTAGGACGCATCAAAAAGTTGGGGGGCACCGGTTTCGAGCGGCACTTTTGGAATGAAAAGGGCACCAAAAAGATTTTTCCCGGAAGGGAAAGCGCGAAGGGGGGAATGTTGGGAAGGGAAAATAAATGCAATCATAAATCAAAGGCCATTGAGGGCGACTCACGGATGAGATCAAATGAAAGTGACAGAAAGAATTAAAGCAGTTGCAGTTGTTTTGGCAAACGAGCACCGTGCAAATTTTGCCATTTGTCCTGCTTCAGCCCGATTTCTGGTTCTGAAAGGCCCGATTCGCAGGCAAACAGTGCTCACGAAGCAGGCTGGTCATTTCTCATTGTTTAACTGCCCCACACTCAAGTAACCACAAAGGCTCACAGATAATGTTTTGCAACATCCGTGAGTCAAAAATGCCAATCTCGACAACATTTTTCACGAAGGCTAAGGGCACTTTGCCACCGGAAGAAGGGCACTTTTTCTGCCTTCTGCCCTGCCCCTCCCCCCGTTCCTACGCCCCTGTAAATACCAAATATTGAACACTTTTTAAAGCCGACCCAATCGCAAGAACTTTATTTTCAAGATGCCCCACCTTCATCTAGAAGATTTAGGACCCTCCCCTCCCTCCAACATTTCATTCGTTACATTTTTTGGTACGTGTAAAATAGGTAATGGGACAAGTATTGGCTGGTGTAAGACATTGTGTAACATAAATAATTAGAGGACTAGTTTTCAAAATTGTTGTTATTTACTCCAACTCCTATGAACTACATATACGTAATAAACAATGAAAACTACGATTATAGGAACTAAAAAAGGTGAAATAATTTGTGGGATACGATAAACACGAGAGATCGAAAATGAGTGAGAGAGTATTAAAATTGGGGTCGCCTCTTGTCACATATTTTTCAGTTTGAGGCCTCCCCCAATTCAGGCAAAATAGTTGAAGCCGCCCCCACCCCCTTTTCTCACCCACCGACCCCCTCCCATCATTAATGACCGGTCTCTTATTGTCAAAGATAAAATGGGTGACCTTCTAAATTACTATCCCGAAATAACGTACTGTAACTAGGATTATAGGGTTAGAATTTACGATTAAAATTAGGATTAAGGTTAAGATTAGGATTAAGGTATTATTCGCTGTCGAAAGAAAGTTGTAAAACAAAACATTTAAGGCTCAGGATAGAGTATAGACCCATTGCACATGACGTCACAGCGCCGGTGACGATGCATCTGCATGACATCTATGCATAGTATAACTTTTGTAAACAAAGCAAATTTTGTAAAACTTTATAATAATTTTGTATTAAAATGGTTAATTTATGTACTGTATGTGGTTGCTGTACTCAAGCAGATACTGTTTGGGAGCAGATACTGTTTGGGAGCATCTGGAGGACACTCTATGGATTTGTGACGTCAGTGCAATGGGTCTTTATACTGACTGGCTTAATCAGTCAGCTGAACTGGTCATTGTTTTGCCAGTAACAGTTTAGGCACGGGTTCTACACTTTGCTAGTAACAGTTTGCAGGGCGGTTTCTAAACGGAGTGCGACGATTTGTCCCGCTTGCTAACCAAGCATCTCGGGTCTCAATACAGTAAATTCGAATGCTTTTCGTTTAAATTTCTTTGCTCTATTTGAAATATATTGGGTTTACTCATATGAGTGCTAATTTATTTTGTAAACAAACTGTAACGGTGTAGTGTGAACACATAAATTGTGCCGGCATTATTTCGCTCCGTTGTTGTGTGAACGTAGTCTGGAATGACCATAGATATCTTATATACACTAGATAGTGCATCTAATTATTCTACAATTCAAAAATTGAAGCCGTGATTGCAGATTCAGGATATTCCAATGAAATGGGAAGACTCGCATGTTTTCTATTTCTTAAACAGGGCACTTAAACATTAAGTTAAACCTATTCCAAAGACATTTTCAAACTATTCAAATATGAAAGTTGTTGTTGTTTTTTAAGCGTTTATTAGCGAGTGGGAAACGGCAACATGGCCGCCATCTATTCAAATGGGGGTAACCGCCGGAATATTCTTGTCTTCAATTTTACTAAAAGAGATGCGCTATCTAGTTTATATAAGATATGTATGGGAATGACTCAATGACATGACAGATTTTTGCTAATTTTAAATGTGAAACAATGTGAAGAAAACCAAGCGTACTTTGGAAAGCTTCCGTGTTTCAGGCTCCTCAAACAACCTAAAAGGAACTCTTGCTATATTAGTTTATTTTTAAAACACGTACGGGTCTTTAAATTAAAATTTTTTTAAATATTTAAATGTAAATAGAGTTCTTTGAAAAGTATTTCAATTCGTTAGTATTATTTGATTTGTGCCATTCCTTTATATACAGCTAATAGAATAGATCGACTGCCGCAAGATTTTATCAAATATCAAAGAAAATTAAAGACGCATTATACAGGGTGTATCAAAAAAAGCGCAATCCTCGACTGAAATGTAAATTGCTAAACAAATAGTAGACGAAAAAGTTAAAGTTTACATTCATTTTAAAGCGTAGCCATTCAGCTTTCTAACAGTGGGTTGTTTCTTAAATTTGACTCATTGGTTCGCGGCTAATAATACTTTACGTTATTGTGATTGGAGATTAAAAAAATTGAGATGGAATAACAAATCGTTCTCATGAAAATAACTGATTTTTTCATTAAAACAAAAAATGTTGCATTTTAATAAATGGATTGTAACAATAAGTATAATTACGGCTTTTCTTCCACTATTTTTAACACAGTTTGAAACTTCAAATGCGATATAATTTTGGCTTGGACCATCTAAGCTGACTGACATCAGCTTGCTATAATTTCTGTTTACATTACATCGCAATTCGATGACACTCTGGCTCAGACACCAGAATGTTTTGATTCTATGATTATTAGCATTCGTTTAGGATTTTCAAACAACCTGGTCTCTTTTAAAATACTTTTAATTTGTTCTTACGTGGTTTTCCAGATGTAGTGACGACAAAATTAAAGTTTAAAGAAGAAAATTCTAACATTTAAACCGACTAAACAATAACATAGTAAACTTGCATAATTAAACAGCAACTAAAAATGATAGGTTTTACTAAATC